TGTCTCTACTAAAAATACAAAATTAGCCAGGCGTGGTGGCACATGCCTGTAATCCCAGCTTCTCGGGAGGCTGAGGCAGGAGAATCACTTGAACCCAAGAGGCAGAGGTTGCGGTGAGCTGAGATCGTGCCGCTGTACTCCAGCACGGGTAACAAGAGTGAAACTCGGTCTGACAAAAAAAAAAGCAGACTCAAAGCTGTGAGAAAAGTGAAGTGGAAGGATGGGGGCATGCTCTGTTCTGGTTGGGACTCAAAATGAGGAAGGTAGAAGACAATGGACAGAAGAGCTGGGCTGGGTTGAGCATGGGTTCTAGGCCTTGAACCTAAACAACAAGCACAGGAAAAGCTGGTCAGCATCTTGTGAACTGCCACCATGGAAACCACTGCATTGATTAGCAACACAAACGGTGTGTGTGTGTGTGTGTGTGTGGGAGGGGGGGAGTTTCTGGAATAGGGCTAGTCTCTCACTATTTCTTGCTCTCCAGAGATGGCTACAATAGGGTTTTGTCTCACTGTCACCCAGGCTGGAGTGCAGCGGCATACTCAAGGCTCACTGCAACCCCTACCACCCAGACTCAAGTCATCTTTCCGCCTCAGCCCCTGTAGTAGCTGGGACTACAAGTACGCACCACCACGACCAGCTAATTTTTGTTTTGAAAGATGTGGTTTTGCCATGTTGGTCTTGAACTCCTGATCTCAAGTGATCCGCCTGTCTCAGCTTCCCAAAGTGCTGGGATTATAGGAGTGAGCCACCACGCCTGGCCCTTGATGTTTTCATACTATGGGTTATGATCCATTAGTCACTCATGAAAACATCAGGATACACAGTAGGTGAGGATACAAATTTTGTGAAACTTTTGTTTATATATGTGTATATAGGTCAAAATGTCTTTCTTACTGTTGTTGAAAGCCACAGGTTTAGAGAGCTGGGAGGACAGGCGCTCTCCCAGTCCCTAATTGCACCAAATGCCTCACATTAATCATAGTAGAGCTAAAATGAAAAAAAAGAATCACACACCTCAGCATCTACCAACAACAGCACCACAGAGAAACTCACATTGTTAATTAAAACATATAATGTAAATATGGTATTGAAAGTATAAAAATTAAAGGCTTATGAAAAACTCAAGAAGGGTCAAAAGGCTATACAAGCAAGTAGTATACAGATTGTTTCCTTAAAAGATAAATTTTAATATATAGAATAAAATCCAAGATGATTTTATTATTTTTCACTTTCACAAAACTTGTGAGCATAAATGCTTCTGAATCTGACCAATGAAGTTTATATTTTGGTCCAATACATTATGAGACTAACTTGTATGATCAAGTCCAGCTTGATTATCATAAATCATAGAAGTTAACAATTTACTCTGAGAATCTGTTGTTAATATAGATAATGGATTTCCAATTTTTTCTTAGCTAAGAATTTACTTAACTTTAGCTCAGAACCAGATTCAAAATATTTTCTTTAATTAGCTGGTCATCATTTTAGGCTTAATCTAGGCAAATTATTTAATACTTGATTGAAGATCATACAAAACCTCCAAAATAAATAAGAGTATGCAAAATTATTAGCCTTTGTGTACAATACAGAAAATACATGTCAGTTCTGGACCAAAATAATTGCATTAAAATACAAAAGGTGATAGGGAAGAATTAAAAGATCTGCAGTGACTGCTTTTGGTGGTCAGCTACAACAAGCCAACAACCCTCAGCTATTTTGGAAAGTGAACATGGGTCTTAATTTGCAGATAATGAATGTCTTCGGTAGTTTAAAAAAATATAAACTCTAAAAAAGCTTGTGGATCATATACAAAAGCAGCTATTTGAGACCAAGGTTCAACACCAGAAATTGTGTTAGCACCACCAGCAAGCACAGGGTCCTCTGACTCTTCCGCCCTCCTATCTTGTGCAGAATGCAGACTTGAATGTTGTACACATCATTTAGAGTTACAAAAATTGGCCTTGAGTACAGGCTTCCTGTAGGGTAGTCTTAAGCCCTAAGAGGCACCAAGCGGTTACAAAGGCTAGGTAACAATCCAGATCACAAGGTCCGACGATATAATAAATCCCGTGTTGCCTTATCAACTTTTTGCTGGTAGTCCTCCAATTTGTCAAGTATCTTCTGGGACAGCTATAAGAGAAAAGAAGGAAAACATTACAGAACAGCTCAACAATGGAAAAAGATTGAAGTTATTAATCACTTTGACTTCAACAAGCAGATTCCACCTTATAAAGATGTTAGCCACTCTGCTTCATAAAATCACCATTTGGTATAGGATTCTCCTCTGTTACCCTACTGATAAAACTAGGCCTCTCTGTTACATACAACATTTCAATCTCATTTTCTGAATGAATTTTCTAAGTATGGAAATTATACCAGTATTTCTAATAAAAGGATCACTAGCTCTTTTCTTAGAACCAGAGATGCTGCATCTGATGTAACTAGTTATTAGCTGCCAAGTGAAATATAGAACTAACATTTTAGATAGGCTCAGGAGGCACTCTGTGTCACTGGTAAACAAAATAAGCCATCACTATAATGACTCTGAGCAAAGGAAACCCTATTGTTTTTTATGTTAAGGCAAGCAGAGCAAATATATGACTCCTGAGAAATGTTGTTATATATGCCAACTTCCCTCAGGACAGTGATAATTTATCACACTGTATTTCTTTCTTTTTTGGGGGGTCGGGGAAATGGAGTCTCACTCTGCCGTCCAGGCTGGAGTGCAGTAGTGCAATCTCGGCTCACTGGAATATCCGCCTCCCAGGTTCAAGCGATTCTCCTGCCTCAGCCTCCCGAGTAGCTGGGATTACAGGCTCCCGCCACCATGTCCGGCTAATTTTTGTATATTTAGTAGAAATGGGGTTCCACCATGTTGGCAAAGCTGGTCTCGAACTCCTGACCTCTCAGGTGATCTGCCTGTCTCAGCTTCCCAAAGTGCTGGGATTACAGGTGTGAGCCACCGTGTCCGGCCTATCACACTGTATTTCAAGTACCTGTTTACCCTGTAGGGTCTGCCCTACCAAACTAAACCCTTGAAAGGATGGACCGACTGCTTGCCATCTGTCTCTGTATAATTAACACTTACACAGTTCCTCATTACGTTTTCTCGACCCTATTGCTTAGATCCTTTGCCTCATCTATAAAGGGATTGGGCAGTTTGCTAAGGGCCAAAACTAGGCTTTTGCCCTCCCTTTCTAATCCCAGAGAATTGAAGATCAAGCTGGAAGGTGTAACTGCTGTGCAGGGGCTTACAGAAGACATCTCATGAAAGGGCTGACTTACTGCGATGTTGTGACTGTTGGCACTGTTCTCCCCCAGAGCCTGGAGAAGCTGATCAATAGAGGAGTATGGAAGCCACACCATTGGGGCTGTTGCGGACAGTGGAAACTAAAAGGAAAATGTTTATTTGAAAACAGTCTGCAAAGTGTACCATTTCTTCTGGGTAGTTGCTTTCATAGGACTCTGTAGAATAAAATGCCCTTTTTTTTTTTGAGATGGTCTTGCTCTGTCGCTCAGGCTGAGTGCAGTGGCACGATCTCAGCTCACTGCAACATCTGCCTCCTGGGCTCAAGCGATTCTTGTGCCTCAGCCTCCCCCGAGTAGCTGGACTACAGATGTGCACCAGCATGCCTAATTTTTTTATTTTTATTTTTAGTAGAGATGGGGTTTCACCATGTTGGCCAGGCTGGTCTCGAACTCCTGGCCTCAAGTGATCCACCTGCCTTGGCCTCCCAAAGTGAGCCACTGCGCCTGGCCAAATAAAATGCTTTTTTTTTCCCCACAAGAAACTGTGTGTATACATGTGCACGCACACAATGGGAACCCTCTTTTCTCCAATTGGGAAACTTGTCATTTTTTTGGTTAAATTAAATGTATTTAAAAATTCTTGTCAGCTGGGCCTGTAATCCCAGCGTTTTGGGAGGCCAAGGTGGGCGGATCACAAGGTCAGGAGTTCAAGACCAGCCTAGCCAATATGGTGAAACCCCATCCCTACTAAAAATACAAAAATTAGCTGGGTGCGATGGCAGGCACTTGTAGTCCCAGCTACTCGGGAGGCTGAGGCTGAAGAATTGCTTGAACCCGGGAGATGGAGGTTGCAGTGAGCCGAGATCGTGCCACTGCACTCAAGCCTGGGTGACAAAGCGAGACTCCATCTTGGAAAAAACATAAAAATTAAAAAAAATAATAATAATTTCATGTCAACTTTCTCTTTTTTTGAGACAGGGTCTCACTCTGTCACTCAGGCTGGAGTGTAGTGGCATAATCACAGCTCACTGTACCCTCAACCTCCAGGGCTTATGTGATCTTCTCACCTCAATTTCCCACATAGCTGGGACTACAGGCATGCACCACCGTGACCAGCTAATTTTTTTCTATTTTTTGTAGATATCGGTTCTATGTTGCCAAGGCTGGTCTTGAACCCCTAGGTTTAAACGATCCTCCCACCTTGACCTCCCAAAGTGCTAGGATTACAGGTGTGAGCTGTTGCACCTGGCTGATTTCATGAGGGTTGAAGCTGTAGTTAACTACACCCATTTAGACCTGGCTCTTCTATTATATTTACCATCTGTGTGAGCCTGTGATAACTTAACCTCTAAGCCTGTTCCCTCATGGGTTAAAAAATATAAAATTAAAACATCCCTCATAAGGCTGCTATAAGGATTAAATAAGAAAATGCTTGTAGAGACTTAACACAGTCCCGGCATACACACAATACCATTTTGTTTACCTCTCTCCACTGAATCCTAATGCCATATTATTTTGATAAAGATGAAATTCCTATTTTATAAACAGGAGACTAGAGACTCCTAGAGTGTCAATATTTAGTTGTATAACTACAGATAGTAATGGTTAAATACACTAATATATAATTCAATTTACTCTCAGATTCTCACCTTACATAGCATGGTAATAAAAGGAAATGCCTAGGCCGGGCGTGGTGGCTCCTGTGGGTAATTCCAGCACTTTGGGAGCCCGAGGGGGATAGATAACTTCAGGTTAGGAGTTCCGAGACGAGCCTGGCCAACATGGTGAAACCCTGTCTCTACTAAAAATATTAAAAAGTTAGCTGGATGTGGTGGCAGGTGCCTGTAATCTCAGCTACTCAGGAGGCTAAGGCAGGAGAATCACTTGAACCCAGGAGGCGGAGGCTGCAGTGAGCTAGTAAGCGGAGGTTGCACCACTGCACTCCAGCTTGGGGGCTGGGCAAGACTCGGCTAAAAAAATATATATATATATCTCTATATCTATGTCTTATCTATCTATATATATATCTATATATGCAACTATACAGATGTTCCTCAACTTATGATGGGTTTGTTTTCCAATAAACCCATTATCAGTTGAAAATATCATAGGTTGAAAATGCATATAATACACCTAACCTAATGAACATCACAGCTTAGCCTATAGCCTACTTAACCATGCTCAGCATGCTTAACGTTGACCTATAAAGTTGGGCAAAATCATCTAACAGAAAGCCTACTTTATAATACACTGTTGAATATCTTGTGTAACTTATTGAATACTGTACTGCAAGTGAAAAACTGAACAGTTGTATGAGTATTTTGTTTATTTATTTATTTATTTATTTATTTATTTATTTATTTTTGAGACAGTCTCGCTCTGTTGCCCAGGCTGGAGTGCAGTGGTGTGATCTCTGCTCACTGCAACCTCTGCCTCCCAGGTTTAAGTGATTCTCCTGCCTCTGCCTCCTGAGTAGCTGGGATTACAAGTGTGCACCACCGCGTCTGGCTAACTTTTGTATTTTTAGTAGAGACGGGGCTTCACCATGTTGGCCAGGCTGGTTTCGAACTCCTGACCTCAGGCATCTGTCCGCCTCGGCCTCCCAAAGTGCTGGGATTATAGGCGTGAGTCACTGTGCCCAGCCATGAGTATTTTGAAGTATGGTTTCTCATAAACGTTCATCACTTTCAAACCATTGTAAAGTTGAAAAATCATAAGTCAAACCATTGTAAATTGGGGACCATTTGTATATGCCTACCTCAATTCCGAAGTATTGATGTCCTTTACCTAATACAGCATCCACATATTCTGACACCAAATCCACAGCTTCTTCTAAAAGGTCATAGTTTAAGTATAAACGAAGTAATTCAGCGGCGTCAACCTTCTGTGAAAAGTCGGTGATTAAGAATTTTTAGTACTGACCAAAGAACGCTGAGTGGCTGATTCCCTAACATTTGTATTTCTCAACATAATTAAACCAGTGGCTTGGTTTACTCATCTATATCTTAGGATAAGAGCTGATAACAAATCTGGGGAGTTAGGAAAAAAAAAAGTTGAATTCCTAAGAGCCGTTACTTTTAGGCAGTTTGGGAGGCCCTATCTGTTAAATAGCCTTCTTCCCCTGTTTTATGACCTAAGACATACTTTAACTTCTTTCCACTTCAGCTTCCAGAGTTGTAAAGTCAACAAACTTTTCCTGAATACTAAAGTGGCAATATATTCACATAATAAGAAATATATGAATGACAAATGCAAAATAAGTTCAAAGAATCACCAACTTTAAATCTGAAGTCTCTATTTGGAAGAGCTCTATTAATTAAGTATGCTTTCTATATTCTGATTTGATCACAATCTTACCTTTACCATCTTAGCTGCCTTCCCTATTTTCTTATTTATTTATTTATTTATTTATTTATTTCGAGACAGAGTCTGTCGCCCAGGCTGGAGGACAGTGGTGCAACCTCAGATCACTGTAACCTCCACTTCTGGAGTAGCAGAGATTACAGGCACGCACCATCACACCCAGCTAATTTTTGTATTTTTAGTGGAGATGGGGTTTCACCATGTTGGCCAGGCTGGTCTCGAGCTCCTGACCTCAGGTGATCTGCCTGCCTTGGCCTCCCAAAGTGCTGGGTTTACAGGTGTGAATCACCGCGCCCGGCCTCCTTTCTACTTTAAAAAAAAAAACTTTCCTGATTTTAACCTTTAGATTTTCTCTTTCCTTATCCTACTCAAGGTGGTTCAGATGCAGAAGTTCCCAAACTTTAGCATGCATCAAAATCAAATTAGGAGCTTCTTAAAACATAGATTTCTGGCTCCTAGCCTGAGATAATCTGATTATATAAATCTAGGATGAGGAATCTGTACTTTGAAGAAGCCTGCCATTTGAATAATTCTGATGCAGACAGTCTAAGAACCCGTGTTTGATTTTTAATAGTCAGGTGAAACAGTGGGAGTGAAGAAGGAACCAATTGGAAACTGGTTGTGCTCAATTAGTTGTGAACACCACTGCACTCAGACTAGCCATACTGTTACATTATTTGAAAAGTACTCCACCCATTCCTGTGGGTTTTTTGAGGTATGAATAGTAAATCCTGTGTCATGTATATGCTCATTGTTCTAAATATAAACTCACTGTTCAGTGAATATAACAGTAGTCATTAACCTAAGTACTAACCTATGAAACTTCAAATCTAAATACACAGTAGTACTGTGGAAATGAACCTGAATTGTTCTTACGGTTTTAGCTATGATGAAAAGCTTCTCAAAGTACATAAGTCAATATGTTCCCATAAGTTATCACCCCATCTTTTTCTTTTTCTTTATATATTTTTAAATTTAAATAGAGATGGGGTTTCCCTATGTTGCCTGAGCTGGTCTCAAACTCCTGGGCTCAAGCCACCCTCCCCTGTTGGCCTCCCAATGTGTGGGCATGACAGGTATGAGCCATGGCAGTCATATTTTTAATCATCTCATGAAATTATCCAGAATGACAAAGAATGGGTTCTTACTCTGTACAAGTTATAATCCACTTACCTTGTAACTGTTTATAAGCCAATTAGGTAGAGGCACTCCATGAGACAAGAGCTTGTTGATTACACAGTGGTGATACAAGTTATTCTGGACTTTGTACCTTTCCAGGTAAGTTGATAATAGTCGCCATGCTTCATCTGTAGCACTTGAAAAAACCAAAAATGACTAATGAGTTTCAGATTCTTAATAGCTATTTTGAGTACCATTCAAAGCATGTATTTACTAGGAAAACTTTGTTTTGAGACAGGGTCTTGCTCTGTCACCCAGGCTGGAGTGCAGGGGTGTGATCTCAGCTCACTGCAGCCTCTGCCCCAGATTCTCCCATTTTAGCTTCTTAAATAGATGGGAATACAGGCATGCACCACTATGCCTGGCTAATCTTGTTTATGTTTTGTAGAGACAAGGACTTGCTATGTTGTCCACGCTGATATTAAACTCCTGAGCTAAAGTGATCTGTAAGTGTTGGGATTACAGGCAGGAGTCACCATGCCCAGCCTTACAAGGAAAGCTTTAGACATTCACGACTGAATAATATAGCTAAATGGGAACAAATATTATTCAGGCTAATGTGACTTAAGCGATAGTACTAGAAACTAAATGTCTTGGGTTCATATATTCCTCTCCCACTAACGTATTTAGTATGTAGTAAACAAAAGTATTTAGTAAACAAACGTATTTGTTTGGCTATTAATACATAATTCATTTAACTCCTTTGTTTCTGCATTTATGAAACAAGAAAGTGGTTCAGAACACTGGTTCGCAAACCTGATCAAGCATTAGAATCATGCAGAAGTTCTAACTTAGAAGACTAGGGTGATTTCTCATAATACGTATTTTAATCAGTTATTCTGATGTGCTAATTTAGGGGTTGAAAACTAATGTCAGAGAACTTCCAAATTCTAAAATGCTATCACTCTAAAGTGCTAAGCTGTATAATACCAAGTGCAAATGCAGTTCAGAAAGGGAAGCTTACTGAGGGTTAGGGATGTTAGAGAAGGTTTCTGAAGAAGCTGAAGTACATTTACGTGGACACTAAGTGGGTGCACTGGGGAAGTATACGAACAGAGGAGATCTGAAGAAGGTATGGTGGATGATGGGGGCTGATGGGTGACAGACTGCTGAACAGCAGCTGGAGACAAGCTATAAGAAGACACTGATGACACCATGCAGTGACTGCTCAATGGAAGTAATGGGAGAAAAAAGGAGGATAATACTCTGAAACCAAGTAAATACAGATTTTTGCGTGTAAGATTACCCTTTCCTGATATGATACAATAAGTCTTTGAGGAGGGGGTTATGGAGGAGACATTTCATAGGCAAAGACATCCTAGTTTGGATAATAAATGACATGATGTCACCTTAATTATAAACTTTCCAGCCCCTACAAAAATTTAGCCAAAAAGAAAGAAAAAAGTGAAATGATCTATGTAGGACAATTTAATCAGAGAAAGACAGTTACAGCTTTGAGAAAGGCAGAACCACCCAGAGTTGGATGAACACCAGGGCTGTACCTCGACTCCTTAGTAGTGATGACAGATGAGAGCTGATTGGCTGCTAGCCAGGCCCAGGCTTCTGCTTGTGCTGCCTCTCCTCCAAATTGCAATTTGATGCATCTGAAATGAAAATGGTTCCACACTTGAAAACTGAACGCTGAAACGTACCACTTTAATTTGATACTAAAACTAGAGAGATAAGATGAAAACTTCATCTCTAGTATTTTGCTGAATTCACTACTGGAATATTGAATCATCTCTTCCTCAAGTCACACTACGGGATACCTACAAGGACATCAGTAAGCATTAAGAGACAATTTGCTTCCAAGATAAAATTAATGATGAAAAATTCTTTTCTTTTTTTTTTTGAGATGGAGTCTCACTCTGTCACCCAGGCTGGAGTGCAGCGGCGCAATCTCGGCTTACTGCAACCTCTGCCTCCCAGGTTCAAGTGATTCTCCTGCCTCAGTCTTCCGAATAGTTGAGACTATAGGCGCATGCCACCATGCCTGGCTAATTTTTTGTATATTTAGTAGAGACGGGGTTGCACCATGTTAGCCAAGATGCTCTTGATCTCCTGACCTCGTGATCCGCCCGCCTTGGCTTCCCAAAGTGCTGGGATAACAGGCATGAGCCACCGCACCTAGCCTCTTTTTTTTTTTTTAAATTAAGATGGAGTCTCACTCTGTTGCCCAGGCTGGAGTGAAGTGGTGCAATCTCAACTCACTGTATCCTCCGTCTCCCGGACTCAAGCGATTCTCCTGCCTCAGCCTCCCAAGTAACTGGGATTACAGGCACGCACCACCTCTCCTGGTTAATTTTTGTATTTTTAGTAGAGATGGGGTTTCGTCATATTGGCCAGGCAGGTCTCGAACTCCTGACCTCAAGTGATCTGCCCACCTTGGCCTCCCAACGTGCTGACGTTACAGGTGTGCACCACTGCACCCAGCTGAAAAATTCTGAAAGTTCAAAATATTTCTAATTCACAAACTTTTTTTTTTTTTTTTGAAACAGAGTCTTGCTTTGTTGCCCAGACTCGAGTGCAGAGACGCGATCTCAGCTCACTGCAACCTCCGCCTCCCAAGTTCAAGCGATTCTTGTGCCTCAGCCTCTTGAGAGGCTGAAATTACTGTTGTGTGCCACTATACCTGGCTAATTTTTGTATTTTTAGTAGAGACAGGGTTTTACCATGTTGGCCAGGCTGGTCTCAAATGATCCACCCATCTCAGCCTCACAAAGTATTAGGATTACTGATGTGAGCCACAGTGCCTGGCCAAGAAATTCTTCTTTTTTTCTTTTTTTTTTCCTGAGATGCAGTCTCGCTCTGTCACCCAGACTGAAGAGCAATGGCGTGATCTTGGCTTACTGCAACCTCCGCCTCCCATGTTCAAGCGATTCTCCTGCCTCAGCCTCCCAAGTAGCTGGGATCACAGGCGCCCACCACTGCGCCCTGCTAATTTTTTGTATTTTTAGTAGGTACGGGGTTTCGCCATGTTGGCCAGGCTGGTCTCAAACTCCTGACCTCAGGTGATCTGCCTGCCTCTGCCTCCCAGTGCTGGGATTACAGGCATGGGCCACGGCGCCCGGCTGAAATTCTTTTTAAGAATGCTTGGATGGATTAAACAAAACACTTCTTCAAACCACAAATGGTATACAGGCTACTTGGCTTATGACGACTGCTTCACACTAAGCAAGAGGATAATATATTTGCATTAGAAAAGACTACAAAAAGATAATTTTATACATACTTGAAGGCAAGTCCTTCAAAGACTGGCGTTAAGGGAAGCTTAAAAGTCTGACAGAGTGATATGGCAGTGTCAAAGAGGCCTGCCTGAACCAAGAGAGTGACCATCTCCTCTGCTGATGAACTTCCTGTGAAAATGGAAAAAGATTATTTTGTGTAGCCAAGGCAGACACAAATGAAACCAAAGATTTTGCTTTGTTGATGAGTATCTCTGAGTAACAACCCATGCTTTATACCCATCTAGCATGCTACATACACTGCCTTGACCTAAAATGTGCTCTTAGTGCTGACAAGTCAGAGGCTTTAACTCTTGAATTCCTACCGGCAACTGCAACTGCTGATGGATCATGCTGAGCCAAAGTGAGGCGGATACGAGCCAAGGAACACTCTTTCTCCAGATCTTCCAGTTCCAGGATTTCAATTTGTCGATTTGCTATACATCAAAGAAAAATATTTTGAACTCCCAAAATACAAAGAAGTATCCACTAGATTAACTCAGCCTGTCAATTTCCACTGAACATTAAATAACATTCAATCTAATTTCCAAATGCATGAAGGAAGGAGAAAACAGGGAACTAAATAAATGCTAACTGAAACAAATTATGCAATATCCCATGTCAAATCAAAGTATTTTAACAAATGCAGCTGAGAAGGTGCTTACAAGGTACTACATGTAATTTCATTTAACTCTTTAAACTTTTTTTTTTTTTTTTTTTAAAGAAAACAAATCTCTCTCTGTCACCCAGGCTGGAGTGCAGTGGCATGATCTTGGCTCACTGCAACCTCTACCTCTTGGGATCATGTGATTCTCCTGCCTCAGCCTTCCAAGTAGCTGGGATTACAGGCGGGCACCACCATGCCCACCTAAGTTTTGTATTTTTAGTAGACATGGAGTTTCACCATGTTGGCCAGGCTGTTTTTAAACTCCTGACCTCAGGTGATCCAGCCACCTCAGCCTCCCAATGTGCTGGGATTACAGGCATGAGTCACTATGCCTGGCCTAAAAAAAAATTTTTTCTTTTCTTTTTTTTTTTTTAAGATGGAGTCTCGCTTTGTTGCCAGGCTGGAGTGCAGTGGCACGATCTTGGCTCACTGTAATCTCCACTTCCCGGGTTCAAGCAATTCCCCTGCCTCAGCCTCCTGAGTAGATGGGACGACAGGTGTGCACCAACAAGCCTGGCTAATTTTTTGTATTTTAGTAGAGACGGGGTTTCACCATGTTGGCCAGGATGGTCTCGATCTCCTGACCTTGTGATCCATCTGCCTTGGCCTCCCAAAGTGCTGGGATTACAGATGTGAGCCACCATGCCTGGCCAAAAGAATTTTCTTCTACAGGGTCTTGCTATAGTTGCCCAGGCTGGTCTTAAACTCCTGAGCTCAAACAATCTTCCTACCTTGGCCTCCCAAAATGCTGGGATTACAAGGCATGAGCCACTGCACCTGGCCTCATTTAACCATTATAATTGTGAAATACTGTCTGTCATCTCTATCAGTAAGAAAGAAATATGACCAAACTGTGAGAGGCAGAATTAAAACCAGGTGTGTCCAAATCTAGAGCCTCGGCTCTTTATGGAAGGATGTCATGCCTCTGTGGTAATAGCAAAAGAACCTGATAAAAAAAACTTGGAACTAAGCTAATTTAAATACAGCATACAAGAAAAAACCACACTCTTATTTAAGCATTTTCATTTCTCTTACTGTTGTACATTTTAGAAGTGCTACCAGACAACCTTTAGCAGATTAGAATGCTGAAAATAAACTAAAAAGAAGGAACTTTACAATATTTTTACAGCAATGTCATTATTATATATAATATATATAGTATATAACAATGTTACTACTATATGTAGTATATAACAGTGTAACTATATATGTTACAATATAACTACTGTCTAAATTACATGTATAGTTGACCTTTGAACAATGCAGGGGTTAGGGATGCTGACTCCTGAGCAGTTGAAACTCTGCATATAACGTTTCATTACCCAAAAACTTAGCTACTAATAGCTGACTACTGACCAGAAGCCTTACTGACAACCTAAACAGTCAATTCACACATATTTTGTATTTTATATAATACACTATCCTTTTTTTTTTTTTTTTTTGAGACAGAGTTTCACCCTTGTTGCCCAGGCTAGAGTGCAATGGCACAATCTCGGCTCACTGCAACCTCTGCCTCCTGGGTACAAGTGATTCTCCTGCCTCAGCCTCCCAAGTAGCTGGGATTACAGGCATGCGCCACCACGCCCAACTAATTTTTTATTTTTAGTAGAGACAGGGTTTCTCCATGTTGGTCACGCTGGTCTTGAACTCCCAACCTCAGGTGATCCGCCTGCCTCGGCCTCCCAATGTGCTGGGATTACAGGCATGAGCCACCATGCCTGGCCTATATACCGTACTCTTGGTTGTGGTTGTTTTGAGACGGAGTCTTGCTCTTGTTGCCTAGGCTGGAGTGCAGTGGCGTGATCTTGGCTCACTGCAACCTAAGTCTCCCGAATTCAAGCAATTCTACTGCCTCAGCCTCCTGAGTAACTGGGATTACAGGCACCCGCCACCACGCCTGGCTAATTTTTTGTAGTTTTAGTAGACACAGGGTTTCATCATTGCTGACCAGGCTGGTCTTGAACTCCTGACCCCAGGTGATCTGCCCGCCTCAGCCTCCCAAAGTGCAGGGATTACAGGCATGAGCCACCGCACCTGGCCTATACTGTACTCTTAAAAGAAAATGTTATTAAGAAAATCATAGGGAAGGCAGGCACAGTGGCTCATGCCTGTAGTCCCAGCACTATGGGAGTCTGAGGTAGGAGGATTGCTTGAGTCCAGGAGTTTGAGGCTGCAGTAAGCCATGATTGTGCCACTGCATTGCAGCCTAGGTAACAGAGTGAGACCCTGTTTCAAAAACAAAAACAAAAGCAAAAGCAAACAAACATGTTTAGGCAAATGTCGTTTCCCCTCAGTGATTTTCCTTAATAGTGTCTGGGAACTCATCTGCTGCTTCTTGGTCAGCAGAAGCTGCTTCTCCTGTATCTTGACATTTTAAAAGCTGTATATCTTTCTTAAATTGTCAAACCATCCTTTGCTGGCATTAAATTCTCCAGCTTTAATCTTTTACCTTCCATTTGCTTTAAGTTGTTGTGTAATAACTTGTTTTGAAAATCATGTTAGAGTCTATAGGTATGCCTTTTTTATATCAATACTGTACTCACATAAAAGCTGGATTTTCAACATGAGATAAAAACGTATTTTGCAAAAAGTACAAGGTTTTTGTACCTACTGGCGAAGCTGAAGCAATAGCTTCACAAATTTTCTCTTCTTTTTTTTTTTTTTTTTTACAACGTTCCTTACACTGGATTCATTTTTCTTGAAATGGCAGGCAACCTCAGCTGCCAGCCTCAATCTACAGTAGATATCAAGCAGTTCAACTCTTTCTTGTCATGTTATGACTTTTTTCTGCTCCTTGGGAGCACTTCCAGCATCACTACTGACACTTCGTATGAGTCCCACTAAACGTGATTTTTTTTTGAGGCGGAGTCTCACTCTGTCGTCCAGGCTGGAATGCAGTGGCACAATCTCAGCTCACTGCAATCTCCACTTCCTGGGTTCAAGCGATTCTCCTGCCTCAGCCTCCTGAGTAGCGGGAATTACAGGTGAGGGCCACTACTGCCCAGCTAATTTTTGTATTTTTAGTAGAGAAGGGGTTTCACTACGTTGACCAGGCTGGTCTTGAACACCTGACCTCAGGTGATCCACCTGCCTCGGCCTCCCAAGGCGCTGGGATTATAGGTCTGAGCCACCACACCTGGCTTCCTTAACTTTTTCAGTATTTCTAGGCTATGTGGTTCAACTGGGAGTTTTTTCAAATTGTGACAAATCTCCAGAAAAAGAATCCAATATACTTATTGAAAACAAGAATCTGTATGATAGATGCCTGCAGTTAAAACCTGTGTTTTACAAGGGCAACTGTTACTATTATAACATTTATATATTACTACTATATGTAACTTATTTAACTACATATTTCTATCATAATATAACTAACAATAACAATATTACTACTGTCTAGCAAAGAACCAGTGTGAGACTCCTGACTCACTGGGGGCAGCTGTGCATTCTCCATCATGATTCCTCTTAGGGGATGCTCCAGGGCGATCATACTGATAAAACAAAACAAGCAATTTAGCTGTGAAAATCAGTATTTTATTTTGATATCATTAATTGTGATTCAGAGCTTTTATGCTTAAATTCTCTCAATGGAAATTATTTTTATTTCAACCAGCAGAGTTCTTACAGAGGTACTGTAACTATGAGACAAAGAAAGAAGTTCTTTGCCAAGTTGTTAACTTATCCATAACATATTACTGAGTCCAAGGACAGGGATTTTGATCTCCATGTAAATCAACTAATTTTTCTTGGTTCCAGAGTTATATATAACAGAAACAGTTGCATGTATCCGACCCATCAGTATGATAGGAAGAACTCAAAGTGTGTGTCCTTTAAAACAGTAACTGTAGACTGCATTAACAAACACAATAGAAATAAAAGCAGCTACCATTTACTGAGCACATCTTCTAGGCCAGGCACTGTTAACTGTCCTAAGCAATTGACTTGAATTATCTCATTAATACCCAAACAATCCTATAAATTAGGTATTATCCATATTTTATGCCAGAGAATAACTGAACAACAAAAGATTAAGTAACTTGTCTGAATTGGGTCAGGTCTGTCTAACTCCAAAACCACTCTGCGATATTTCTTCCTACAATAATTCTGAACTTGAGAACTGAAGGGGTAGTAATATATAACAACTGAATTGTAAACATAGGTTTTTTTCACAAATATCTCAGTAGAAATTGTAAATCAAATCAAGCAAAATGACATAATAGTTTTAAAAGGACCAAAACAAGTAGATTTAATGACCCCAAAATTCCAGGATGAAACGTTTTCATACCACTGCACCAGACGCTGGCTGCACAATCCACGCATATTCTGGACGAATAAGTCGTAAACAATTGAGAGCAGCCAGATAACAGTTGCCTTGTTTCTCAAGTCCCCGGAGAGTTCGAACTTCTCTGCCAAGACGCATTCCATACTCAAACATCACTGTGCCAGCTATGAGGAGATAATAAATCAGACTTTAGAACTTCCAAAAAAAATTTTTTTTTGAGACAGAGTCTTGCTCTGTTGCCTAGGCTGGAGTGCAATGGCGTGATCTCAGCTCATTGCAACCTCCGCCTTCCGGGTTCAAGCGATTCTCCTGCCCCAGCCTCCTGAGTAACTGGGATTATAGGCACACGAGCACCACACCCAGCTAATTTTTGTATTTTTAGTACAGAGTTTAGTAGAGAGTTTCACCATGTTGGTCTCGAATTCATGGCCTCGTGATCTGCCCACCTAGGCCTCCCAAAGCGCTGGGATTACAGGTGTGAGCCACAACGCCTGGCCTTCCAAAATTTGTTTCTCTAGAGATACGCAGAGAGAATGCTATCCCTAATCAAATGTTAAAATTTAAAACAAAATTGGGTTTGATGTAACCCCAGCCCCCTGAAAAAAATCACATGTTGGTGGGGATGTGGAGAAACTGGAACCCTTGTGCACTCTTGCTGGGAATGTCAAATGGTATAGCTGCTATGGAAAACAGTATGGCAGTTCCTCAAAAAATTAAAAGTGAAATTATCATATCATCCAGTAATTCCACTTTTGGGTATATACCCCAAAGAATGAAAAGAAGGGTCTCAAAGAGATATTTTTACACCCATGTTCATAGCAGCATTATCCACGAAAGCCAAAGGTGAAAGCAATCCAAATGTCCATTGATTAACAAAATCTGACATATAAATATAATAGAAAATCACTTAATTATCTTTAAGATATCTGTTTTTTTTTTTTGAGACGGAGTTTTGTTGTTGTTGCCAAAGGTGGCATGCAATGGTGCAGTCTTAGCTCACTGTAGCCTCTGCTTCCTGGGTTCAAGTGATTCTCCTGCCTCAGCCTCCCAAGTAGCCAGGATTACAGAAGCCCACCACCAAACCCAGCTAATTTTTAAAGACATCTTTAAAGAAGAAAATTCTGATGCCACTACAAGGATGAACCTTGAAGACATTATGCTAGGTGAAATAAGACAGTCACAAAAAGACACATACTATTATGATTCAAGTAGCCAAATTCATACAGATGGGAGGTAAAATGGTGGTTGCCAGGGGATCGGGGTTGGGAGGAAAAAGGAGTAGTTGTTTAGTGGGTATAGAGCTTCAGTTTTGCAAGATGAAAAGTGTTCTGGAGATGGGTTACACAATATTGTGAATGCACTTAACACTCCTGAACTGTACACTTAAAAATGGTTAAAATAGCCAGGCGCGGTGGCTCAGGCCTGTGATCCCAGCACTTTGGGAGGCCGAGACGGGCAGATCACGAGGTCAGGAGATTAAGACCATTCTGGCGAACATGGTGAAACCCTGTGTCTACTAAAATACAAAAAAATATTAGCTGGGCGTGGTGGCATGCGCCTGTAGTGCCAGCTACTCGCAAGGCTGAGGCAGGGGAATCGCTTGAACCTGGGAGGCGGATGTTGCAGTGAGCCAAGATCACGCCACTGCATTCCATCAGCCTGGCAACAGAGCAAAACTCCGTCCAAAAAAAAAAAAACCCAAACATGGTTAAGACAGTAAATTATATGTTATGTGTATTTTACCACAATTAAAACAAAAAAAGAAAAAAAATTTTTTTGACATGTAGATACTACATTACCATAACAAGTGCAGAAGACTAGTTTATAGAGCTAGTCTCAGCCACATTGTCACCTATACCTGCCCAGGACTGAGACCAAGAGATGTTTGGATACTCTGCTTAAGAACATAGATTCTCAGTCAGGCACAGTGGCTCACGCCTGTAATCCCAGCACTTTGGGAGGCAGAGGTGGGCAGATCACCTGAGTCCAGGAATTCGAGACCAGCCTGACCAACATGATGAAACATCGTCTCTACTAAAAATACAAAAATTAGGGGTTAGGTGTGGTGGCTCACGCTTGTAATCCCAGCACTTTGGGAGCCTGAGGCGGGTGGATCATTTCAGGTCAGAAGTTCAAGACCAGCCTGACCAACACATGGTGAAACCCCCTCTCTACTAAAAATACAAAAATTAGCCAGGTGTGGTGGCACCCCTGTGGTCCTAGCTACTCGGGAGGCTGAGGTGGGAGAATCACTTGAACCCAGGAGGCAGAGTTGCAAAAAAAAAAAATTAGTTGGGCGTGGTGGCACATGCCAGTAGTCCCAGCTACTCAGGAGTCTGAGGCAGGAGAATTGCTTGAACCCGGGAAGGCGGAGGTTGCGGTGAGCCGAGATTATGCCACTGCACTCCAGCCTAGGCGACAGAGTGAGACTCTGTCTCGGAAGAAAAAAAAAACACACACACAAAAAACACAACTAGGTGGGCATGGTGGTGGACGCCTGTAATCCCAGCTACTCGAGAGGCTGAGACAGGAAAATTGCTTGAACCTGGAAGTGGAGGTTGCTGTGAGCCAAGATCGAGCCACTGCACTCCAGGCTGATCGACAGAGTAAGACTCTGTCTCAAAAAAAAAAAAGAAAAGAAAAAGAAAGGACTCCACCCTAAC